TTCCACCTTAGGGGGCTTACTCTATCAGTTATTGTTACTGTTCCTTTCTTCACACTTCTCTCTCCCTCTATAAATCATCATGTTCTTTACCTTCTGCAATATAAATGCCCAAGCATCTCCATTAAAAAAAATACAAAACCAAGCTCTTGGTTTTACTTTCTAGGCAATGCCTCACTGCTATTTACAGCAAAGGTTTTCACAAAGTTCAATTCTTTACTTCTTTTATTTACTTTTTATTTTACTGTAATCTTTTAAAACTTTTTGTTCGGAAACACTTTTAAAAAGTTCAGAAAGTTGAAAGATTAAAAATAATTTAAAAAATGCAAAAGAGAATTGAAAAAAATACATAAATAAAAATACTTCAAAGCATACCTATATATCCTTTCCCTGGATTCACCGGCTATTAATATTTTAATAATAGGGTTTTTTCCTTGAACCACTTGAGAGTAAGGTACAAACACCATATTGGCTTTTTTCCCCCCTATGAACCCTTTGAGAGACAAACATTTACTTCCCAAAGTACTTTACCTCTAAATACTTCAGCTCTCCCTTGATCTTGCTTCTATTTCTAATGCTCCTCTAACACTGCTTTTCCTATATTACTAATGACTTACAAACTGCTAACTCAGACTGGAATTTTTTAATCGTTATTCAGCTTAACCTGCAGCCATTCTCCCTCTGAAGCTCTCCAGCCCTGTTTCCTGCGGTGCCCCGTCCTCCGGTGCCCTGTCCCTTTGCAGCTCCTCCTCACCATGCTTTCCTACGGCTGCTCCTTCTCTCTAGCCTGCCTTCCTCAGCACACCTCGTGTTCCTTACTTTGTCTATTTTCTGCCCTTCGATTTCTCATTTTCTGGTAAGATCCTGTCCATGCCTCTATGGCAGCCAATTTCCACAAATGCTGATGGTTACCAAATACATCTTTACTGATTCTCGACTTACGTTCCTACATGCCTAATACATTTTATTTATCTGGCAGGTAAACTCAACAAAGTAAAAACTAAGATTAGCATCCCTCCACACCCCCCAAATCTGTTCCTTCTTCACATTTTGCTGCATCTAGCTATGTGAGTCTGAACTACCCACCCACCCCCGCTTCCTTCTTTTCCCTCATTCTACACATCTGTCACAAGAGCCAACTGGTTCTCCTGTCCACAGATGCTGAGAGTCTCTCAACTCTTTCTTTGTTTATTTTTTTGAGACAGAGTCTCACTATGCCCTCAGTAGAGTGCTGTGGCATCACAGCTCACAGCAATCTCCAACTCTCGGGCTTAGGTGATTCTCTTGCCTCAGCCTCCCAAGTACCTGGGACTACAGGCACCTGCCACAATGCCCGGCTATTTTTTTTGTTGCAGTTTGGCTGGGGCTAGGTTTGAAACAATCACCCTCAGTATATGGGGCTGGTGCCCTACCCACTGAGCCACAGGTGCTGCCCAGGATCCTTAACTTCTTAAATCTTTTAACTATTGACAGATAAATGATTGTATAGGTCAGTAACACAAGTATGCCCTCATTTTATACATGAGAAATGGAAGAGACCCATACACAGTCGCAAAATCAAACTAAATGCCTTGTGGAGGGATGGAATCAAGCAAGGCAAGGGGGGTGGGATTCCTATATCAGTCTCCCATGTATTTTCAGCCCTAGACTGGAGGAGAGGAATATATACACACAGACACTACCAGGTGCAGCGTGAAGAGGGTCTCAAGCCAAAGACTGGCTCAGAGAATGGTAGTAGGCTCTGAAGTTTATTAATAACAAATAATTTTACTACAATGAAATCTATTTCCTTAAATAAAGAATGGGTTGTGTAAAACCACAGGAAGATACTTATTTAAAAACAAAACAAGTGTTGACAAGGATATGCAGAAACCAGATCCCTTGTGCATTCCTGGTGGGAATGTAAAATGGAACAGCTGCCATAAAAAATAGCACGGCAGGCTCGGCGCCCATTGCTCAGTGAGTAGGGCGCCCGTAGCTCACTGAAGGTGGTGGGTTCGAACCCAGCCTGGACAATGACAACTGCAACCAAACAAGTGGCCAGGCATTGTGGTGGGCACCTGTGGTCCCAGCTACTCGGGAGGCTAAGGCAAAAGAATTTCTTGAGCCCACCAGTTTGAGGTTGCTGTGAGCTGTGATGCCATGGCACTCTATCCAGGGCGACATAGTGAGACTCTGTCTCAAAAACAAACAAACAAAAAAAAATAGCATGGCAGTGCTTCAAAATATTAAGCATAGAACTATTGTGGGGTCCAGCAATTGTACTTTTAGGTATATACTCAAAGCAAATGAAGGCAGGGACTGAAATAGATGTTTGCACACCAATGTTCACAGTAGCCCAAAGGTCGTAACAACCCAAATGTTCACTGCCAGACAAATGGATGAACAAGCTGTGGTCTGTCACACGACAGGACAGAGTCTTATAAGAGTAAGGTTCTGATACCCACTACAACACGGATGAACCTATATGTCATTATGCTGAGTAAAATAACCTAGACACAAAAGAACAAATATTAGATGATTCTACCCATATAAGGTGCCAAGAATATTCAAATTCAGAGATGGTGGTTTCCAGAGGCTGCTGGGAGGGGAGACTGGTGTGTTGTTCTTTAATGAGCAGAGAATTTCAGTTTGAGAAGATAAAAAATTTCTGGAGCTGGTAGGTGGTGATGGTTGTATGTATAATAATGTGAATGTGCTTACTGCCACTAAACTACATACTTAAAAATAGAATGATACGTTTTGTTATATACAATCACCATAATAAAAAAAGACTTAAGTGCGTAACACAGATACCATTTTATATTAAATGGGAAAACCCACTGCAAAGCTTTTATAGTGATGCACTTTTGACCACCAAACCCCTGTGACCTTGTGTTTTTATAACTATCGGGAAGTAAGCATCACTTTGTAAAGAGCTCTGAGCTTGCAGTTATTGTTCAAGCTGACTGACTGCTGCTGTGATTTCTGGCCAACCCTTTACTGTTTCCTGTAATATTTAGTTACCAGACTTTTATCAGATTTTATCAGGCGAGACATTCTAATATGGGACAGGAAGGTTATTTCCTTAATATAAGTGTTTCCTTCTGATATAACATCATTTGATGAAAACAAAATAATTTAACATTTGCTCACATTTAATGTGTGCAACCTAGAAAATAATCTCCGCAAAAGCCTGAAGAATGATAAAGACTAAGACATTAAAAATTGTGGTTTCAGGGCTATTTCTATTATGAAAAATTATATCCCTTTTATTCTTCAGAATTCTACAATTAAAAAACACTGCCTTTGATGGCAATATCAATAATCAATCCCTTTGCAAAGAAAAAGATCATGGGCTCACTGTTTAGAAATTGTGATCTACAGAATATGGGTCCTTCTGACCAATCCCACCACTTTTTAAACAATATCCATGTGAGATGTGAGAGATGTGAGGGACAGCCACAAAGAGAAGCAGTGAGTTTTTCTTTGAGATAAGAGTAAAGACTGGTCCTGTTACTACATACAAGTTTATGAATAATGAGGGAAAGATGTTCCTTGATCCTTCTTCCCCAAATCCTTCAGGTAAATATATGTGAGTGTGTATATATACACACACACACACACTCACGCACACACCCACTCCCCATAACGACCCTGAATCCTGTTTACATTCCATCCTGTATACATCTAATTTTCTTTGCTTCCGGGCTGCTGTATGTGGCTAACAAATCACCTATAATCATTACACCTATAACCATTACACAGTTATTCTTTCCAAACTGAACTTTTCCAGAGGCTGTTTATCAATCTTTCTATTTGTTCTTAACTTCTATGGTAGTCATTAAGGCTGCTCCCACATACTTCGATTCACTTCCAGGCACCTAGAAAATTGCACTTTTTTACCCTCATTGAAATTGGGCCTGGTTACAAGACTTGCCTGGGCCAATGAGATTTAAGTGGAAGGGAATGTGTCAGTATTAGTTTGAAGTTTTCAGAGTTTCCTGGTCATCCTCCAAATTGTACCTTCCTTTACCTCTGATCCTCAGTCCTACCCCATTAACTTGAGGCCCTGAGTGATTCCTAAGAAAAGACTCCACACTGACCTCCACTGGACACAAACTTGTGTTAACACATTGAGATTTTTAAGTTATTGCCATTGCGTAACCTAGAACCTAGCCTATCCTGACTGAAAAGTTCCTCCCTTTCTCTCCCCAGGCTTCAAAAGCGTTAAGCATAAACTCTGCCACCTTCTCTCCTCATTAGTCATAAACTTATCAGCAGTAACAGGACCATTCTTTTCTTCTTTACTCTTATCTCAAAGAAAAACTTACGGTTCTTTTTGTTTGCCTTTCTCACATGTACATTATTTAAAAAGTGGTGGGGGTGGTCAGAAGGACCAATATTCTATAGATCAGTTTCTAAACAATGAAATCATGATCTTTTTCTTTGCAAATATAGATGTGCAGCTTCTTTTAAATAAAAGTAAAGTATTAAGTTGCCATAGTTAGATAAATATTCCTGCCTGCTTGGTCCCAAATCACTGACTGTTCCAGGGTCTCTAGTATAGAAACTTAAAATGGAAGCTGCAACTGGGAAAAAACATGATTCAAAGATTTCTCCATCTAAATAGAAAAGGTAAGTAATGTAATGCTTTAATACCATAACACCAAAGACACATCTGACAGCACATTCAAAAAGGCTACAAACTTCAAATGTAGTGTTTACTTAAATAAAAAGTGAGATACGAGACCAATACTAACTTTGTGCCACAAATGTGAAAAATTCAACATGCACAGACAAGTACAAAAAAATGATGACTTTCTTCATTCTACATCTATTTTATTAAAACATGATAAATTAACCTAAAAAGGAAATGGTTCATAGATATTTTTAAGTTATTTTAAAATAATTTTTATAGCCATCTATGTAAGATTTGTCTCAGGTCTATCACAACAGGCAGCAAAGTACTAAAATGTATTCTTCACTGCCATTCTTACAATATATTTAAATGAACTTTTTACCTTCTAAGTGGTTTTTGCTCTGAAGAGAGTTACAGTCCACACCTTCATGTTTCAGGCTGTTTGTCTTAATCTGGTCACTAGAAAATAAAACAAAACACACACCCACAGACTGTCTTAGTTATTCTAAGAAAAAGAAAGAAAACAATATTTGTTAAACAATTACTGTATGCTATGTGCATACAGTGGGGGGATGTTTCATGTATATTATTTAATTTCCATCTCACCACACTTATTATTTTAGCTGTGATCCTCATTTTACAACAGGAGAGTAAGGCTGCAAAAGTAAAATTAGTTTGCCCCATCATTAAAATCCAATGTCTATCTGGTTACAAAGTCCTCATCTTTCTACTTTCCCTACCATACTCCTTTCTGAGAAGTGTTACACAATTATCCTGGCAAGTTAAAAATGTTCCCTCAAGTCTTTACTGAAACAGTTATTCTAAGAATACATAAGCATGTTTTAGAGGTTACATAGAGAAGTGCAAATGTACTGCTAACAGTAACATAGTAAATGTATTTGGAATTAAACCCAAACCTGGTTATTTGTCTGAATTCTTTTATATTTGCTAAAAAGAAAATATCTCTTAAACTGACAGTAGAAAACAGCTGCAATTCTGAATTACAATAGATTGAAGAATTAAACAATCATCGTAATGCCTAAGATGAAACCAATATGCTTTAAAACCTGTAGTACACATAGGTAGTTGACAATGATAACAACCGTGGTCATATGGTTCTACAGTTTCCAAATTTTCTAAAAATAAACGGCTGTTATTTTTGGAATTAATTATTAAAAACAAATCAGAAATATCAAATGAACTGCAGTATCCTAGCTTTTTGTATGTTAAGCTATTTCCACTATATTTAACCCAAATTTTAAAAATTACTTCAAATAATTAACAAGAAAAGATAGTGGGTGGAAAACACATTTACTGAACGTATCTATTACCTGAAGAATACTGTTTCTTTAACACCACTGATCTCCACTGCTGTGCCATTTCCGTCGATAACAGGGGAGTCCAAATTAGCAGATCCATTACTGATGTGATCGCTGCTTTCGTATCCAGACTCCGTCCTTTGCATCTGCCAGTTATCACCATAAACTTTGCTGTCCGCGAGGCCTTTATTTTTCTCTGTCCCTTTTCCATTAGATTCCAGGGAACTTCTGCTTCCTACTTCCTGCTTTGTTTCATCTTCATAGATGGTCATTAAGCCTTTTTGCTTTGGATTCTCTTTTGGCCAATTATTGAAACTCTGATCTTTGCTCCCTTTAGGTTTGTTACCAATGCTTGATTTATGTCTTGGACTATGCTGTCTTTTTTCACTTTCATTAAAAATACTGTCAACATTTAATGTTTCTCTCATAGGTTTCCAACCTCGGTTCCGACTTTTACTGCTGCTATGACAGCTGCTTCCTTTATCCCTAGAATCTTGGCTGCCATCTGTATCATATCCAGGGCCACTGTCACTCCTCACTTTGCCGGTTATTTTCTCTCCTGGAACAAGAACCTGGGATTTACTTGAACTTACTTGTGCAGAAGCTCGACTCTGGCAGGTCACTCGGTCATGTTTACATGGTCCTTTTCCTTGACTATGATACAGATGTGGATTCCCATGTTGTCTAAAGCCGTTTGTGGCAGGAGGTGATCCAGACTGGAAATGTGAAAGATCTTCTTCAACCAATTCTTAAAAAAAAGTTAAAAAAGAAAAGAGAAACTATTCTTCAGAGCCACTTGTTCATCACAATCCAAATACCTCATTTGAGAAGAAATCTTAAAATTATGAATAAGTTACATCACATGCTATTTTGAGATTAAAAAATGTTTTCAGTCTTCTATGCTTAATAAATAAGAAGGCATTAATAAAAGAATAAAAGAAACAAATTAAAAAAATGATTCTAGGGTAGAATGTAAGCTAACTGAAAGCAGTTTTTTTTTTTTTTTTTTTTTTTTTTGAGACAGAGCCTCAAGCTGTCCCCCTGGGCAGAGTGCCATGGCATTACAGCTCACAGCAACCTCCAGCTCCTGGGCTCAAGCGAGTCTCCTGCCTCCGCCTCCCAAGTAGCTGGGACCACAGGCGCCCGCCACAACGCCCGGCTATTTTTTGGTTGCAGCCGTCATTGTTGTTTGGCAGGTCCGGGCTGGGGATTCGAACCCGCCACCTTAGGTGTACGTGGCTGGCGCCTTAGCCGGTTGAGCTATAGGCGTCGAGCCTGAAAGCAGTTTTTTTAAAAAAAGTGTTCTATCTCACTTATGATCAACAAAAATCATAAAAACAAAATGTTTTCTACCTGTTATATTGGTAAAGATTTAAATTTGTTTAATCAATTGCTGCTGTGAGTGTAAAAAGAAACAGACATCCATTCTCCCTTGGTGGGAGTGCTGGCCAGGTCGGCCGTTCAGGAAGGCAACGGAGTCACATCAGTCAAAATTGAAATTAACATACCCTGACCCAGCAATTCCTCTGAAAGAATTTTACTCTACGGCTATATACAAAAGCCATACGAAGATATTTGTGAAAGGATGTCGCTGCAGCAAAAATCTTAAATCATCCTTTAAAATCTACCAATATCAGTGAAATCATGCTATGTCCATGAAGAAAAGAGAATTAAACCACAGAAAGTAAAACATGCTTATATGAACTGTAAACTACTCGCAGTGAACAGAGGGAAGGTCAGAAATTCCTGGAAAAGAAGTACTTGTCACTTATTTTTATAACCTTCCTTATTATTTGTGCCATGTGAATAAACTGCGTCTATAAATAAAGTGAAAACATCAGAATATAAACACAAGTATCCCAGGATAGAGTTAAATAAGAGGAAGGAAAATTTACATTTTTAGATTTAGTACAGGTGTAGTAAGAGATCGTATGGGGAAATATATAAAATATAATATGTAAGTACATGGAAATTATAAGTTACACAATTCAGTTTTAAAATAAGATTTTTAGTACCCCCCTTTTAAATGAATGCTATAAGCTCTTCACTTACCTCTATGTCGGCCTAAATCTTTTCTTTGTCCCTTCTCTAAATCTTTCCTTTGTGAAGAAAGTAAGTTTTTCTGTTCAATAGCTTTTAGAGCACATTCTCTGGAAATGTCTTTTATCTTTTCCCTTTGATCAATATGACTTAATTTAACTGCAAAAGAAATCATTCTTATAATAATACAGATCATTTTTCAAATTGCTCAACAAAAATAAAAATTGAACTATATAAAAATTTTTAAGATGTTACATATTAAACACAGAACATTAAGTATACAATAAGCTAACTTGTATGCTTAGTTAAAAAAATGCAGTATGATTTTTAATGACACTGGAGATGCACATTATCTTTTAAAACTTCAAAAGCTTCTGGTGTGGCCCCTAAAGCAAACATAAAGGAGAAAAAGAAACCTGCCATTAAAACAAGAAGAGCTCAAGGTAATGGGGTGCTCACTATTAGCCAGGTGTCTTGCTCATTTCAATCTGAGGCAGGCACAACTACTTTCTCCATTTTAGGCAAGGAAACTGAGGCAGAGAGGAATTAGAGACTTGCCTAAGTATAAACATGGAGCTAGAATATCAACCCAAGTTGTCTGGTTCCAACACTTGTGTTCTCAAACACAGCAGTTCTCAACCTGTGGGTTGCAACCCCATATTTTACATAACGATTCATAACAGTAGCAAAATTACAGTTATGAAGTAGCAAGGAAAATAATTTTATGGTTGGGGGTCACCACAGCATGAGGAACTGTATTAAAGGGTCGCAGCATTAGGACGGTTCAGAACCACTGCTCAAACACATCCACATTGTTCCTGGGCATATCAGTAGGTGCCTTTTGAAACAAAAATGTCTTAAAGAATATCAACAACAAGAGAGAACTGAATAAAAATGAGCTTAAGAACAAACTACAACCACAGTAACTCTGAACCACTGTTAATTTTGGTAAGTATGCCAAATTATTAACTCATGTTTTTTTTTTTTTTCTTTAACTTGATGTTTAATGCCTTGAAGGAAAGGCCACATCACAACTTCCTTTGGTAACTGTCCAGATTGCCCCAGGCCTTCCACAGCTCTGAGTAAGTGGAGAAACTCAACTTTTCAAATCAAACAGGTCAGGTAAAACTACAGCCCTCAGAGAGAGGCATAAATCCAAGACCAAATTTTCTTACCTTGTTATTTTCCCTTCCTGGCCAGGGAAAGCTAATTAAGCACCCTCCAATAAGTGAAGAAAGATGACAGTCGGCTGCTCAGGGACAGTGTAAAAATGATGACGCGAACACGTACCTGGTCCTCTGCCTCCACTCGTCTGAGCGTGGCTCCGGTTAAATGATGAAATAGTACTGGTTTGAAATTTCTGATTTTCTCTCTGTTTTGCCTGGTCACCAAATCCATTTTCTTTTGAATTATCTAACTTTGAAACTGTGGGCTTTTCACATCCTTAAAATGATAAAACAAAAATGTATCATTCCTGCCCATTAGCAGAAGAGATGGTTGAATAATCGTTTTTTCAGACATTTTTAATGGTTGACAAAATTACCAAAAATTAGAGGACTGACATTGCTTACAGATTTCTATTAATACATGCTGTCTCACGCATCCAAAAACGGCCTGCTTTAGACTTTTCCAGTTTCCTAAATTGCTTAAAATTTACTATTAGAAAAAGGGCTACTGGCCAAGCAGCCTCTCTTCTGCTGTGTGACCATAATAGCAGGTGAGTCCTGAGGGGACGTGAGTCCACTGATGAGGAAAGGTTCCTTTCTAAAGATTAAAAACAAAACTAAAACTTTCCTGAACTCCATTTCACTGAAACCTGAATTTGAAATTATCCCGAACACTCATTTCATATCCCGTAATATTCCTAGTTAATGATGATAATAGAAGATAATGAAAAAATTAAAAAAAAATTATTACCCATATTTTCTGCAACAGACTTGTAATGTGACCAGTTGACAACCTGCCTGAGTGCGTCTTCAGTAGAAACTGCTGTGCCATCTGGGTTTGCGTAAAACAAAAGCAGTGGCTGAAAGTGGCATCGGATACACTTGGAGACAACATCTTTCCATCTAGTTCCAATCTTTCAAAAAACCACAATGAATTAAAAACAACTTGTAATCGCTATGCTACATGAAAAGACAGGACTCTTCTAAACATTATGATTTAAAAAATTGATGGGAAAAGACTATATAGACTTTGTATAACAAGATTTAATCATCACATTTTAGAAGATTTCCACATACGTGGAAATGTATGCCTGGCTTATGACAAAGATTTTAAGGACATTCAATTGAGAAATGTAAAAGCATCTGTTCAACAAGTTATGTTAGAAATAACTGGACCAGCCATATGAGAAAAATAACTTCAATCCTGCATCCTATAAAACACAAAAATCAACTCAGAATGGATCATACAAAAACTATAAAAGTTATGGAAGAAGGCAAAGATTTTTTAGATAGGGTACTACACAAACCACAGGAAAAAAATTGTAAAATGGACTTCATTGAAGTTAATTAATAATTTCTGCTCTTGGAAATACGCCATTAAGAAATTGAAAAAAGCAACATATATCTAATAAAGGATTGGTAGGCAGAACAAAGTTTTACAACTCGTTAACAAGAAGATAATATAATTTGAAATAAGTGGTAAAACACTTGAACAGACATTTCACCAAAAAAACACTGAATGCTCTGGGTGGCACCTGTGGCTCAAAGGAGTAGGGTGCTGGTCCCATATACTGGAGGTGGCAGGTTCAAATCCAGCCCTGGCCAAAAGGAAAAAAAAACTACAAAAAAACCCACAAAATACTGAATGCCCAATAAGCACATGCTCAGAAGATGCTCAAATCATCCCCAATCACAAGGAAAATGCAAATTAAAGCCACAGTGAGATAATACACATCCACCAGATGAGCTAAAGTTAGGCTACCAGTATGAAGCACTGCAGAGAAGGTGGAACAAGAACTCTCACACACTGCTTGTAGGAAATGCAAACTGGACCCATCCTTGGAAATCAACTTGATAGATTCTTGTAAAGTTCAACATATACTCACCACACAACCCAGAAATCTCACTGCTGGGTATTATCTAACAGCAATGGGAAAAAGTATGGTCACACAAAGACTGTTCACACTTCAACAGGAAAACGGATAAGTAAACTGCTGCACAGCCATGAAATGGAACCCAATAGGGCTAAGGCCCTGATAATAGAAGACGTGAATGAACCATAAAGCCCTTATACTGAAGGCAGGAAGCCAGACACACACTGTAGGAGGCCACAGAATGGGCAGGAGTAATCTATAGTGAGAGCAGAGATTTCCTAGGCCCCGGGTAGAGTGAGGGGACTGGTGGCAAAGGTGCACGACACAATTTTTCTGGAGTGATGAAACATGTTCTGTATACTCATTATGGTGTTTACACAGGTATAAACAAACATACATCGACACTCAAACTGCAGGCTTAGAATAGGTGCGTTTTTCCTCTTTTCAGTCATATGGGTCACAGGCAGTGAAATGGGTGCATTTTAATGTTTGCAAATTATACCTCTATCTAGTTAATTTATAAAACAAAATTGACCAAATAAAAACCCATAAAACACTTAAGAATATCATTCTAGAATATTTTTGTAGGGAATAAGCCTTCTAAAAAAAATCCCCAGGAGCTTTTTCAGACTGCATATTTTCAGCTATTTACTCTCCTTGCCTGGGATTCTGAGAGACTTAAGGAGTTAATTTCAAAAAATAAACAGAAAACCTCACAGAGGTATTTACACACCCAGTTCTTCCTCTAAATTTTAACAACTTAAACTAGATGCAAAGAAGGAACTTCAAAATCCTGCTACACACTGATTCAAGATGGAACGTCTTTTTTTTTTTTGAGACAGTCTCACTATCTTGCCCTTGGTAGAGAACAGTAGCATCACAGCTCACAGCAACTTCAAACTCGTGGGCTTAAGCGATTTTCCCTCAGCCTCCCGAGTAGCTGGAACTATAGGTGCCCACCACAACTCTCGCCTATTTTTTGTTGCAGTCATTGTTTTAGCTGGCTGGGGTTGGGTTTGAATCCACCACCCGTGGTGTATATGGTTAGTGCCATAACCACTGTAATATGGGCATCAAGCCCAAGATGAGAACTTCTTAATAAACTCCTGTACTTAAGTAATTCAAGTGAAGTATGGATTTCAGAATACAAATACCAAATTTTTTTCAACAGCTTTCCTTCTGTGCAGTTTTCTTTCTGGTATTCTACCCTGCAAATTTTAATTATCTTGGCCTCTGTGAATTCCAATTTTGGTCTCCAAAACGCAGTGAAGCTACTAGCCCCAATGACAATTACAGCAACAACAAAAATAAATGAATAGGATTTGATTAAATTAAAAGCCACTGCACACCAAGGAAATAATCAACAGAGCAAATAGCTTGCAGAACAGAAAATACCCACAAGCTACACATCTGAAAAAGGGCTCATAATCAGAATCTACCAGAACTCTAGCAAATCAAGAAAAAAATGAACAATACCATTAAGAAGTAGGTAAAAGATATGAACAGAACCTTTTCAAAAAATAGACAAATGGCCCATAAACATATGAAAAAATGCTCACTGTCACTAATCATCAGGGAAATGCAAATTAAAACCACAATGAGATATCACCTTACCCTAGTTAGAATGGCTTTTATTAAGAGTCCAAAAACAACTCTGGCCTGGATGCAGAGAGAAAGGAACACCCATACATTGCTGATGAGAATGTAAATTAGTACAACCTCTATGGAAAACAGAATGGAGATTCTTTAAAGAACAAAAAGTACACCTACCATCTGATCCACCAGTCTCACTAGTGGGTATTTATGTACCCAAAGGAAAATAAATTATTTTAACAAAAAGACACCTACACACAAATGTTTATTGCAGCAAAATTCACACATGCAAAGATGTAGAATAAACCCAACAACTCCTCAGTTCATAAGTAGATTAACAATATGTATACCATGGAGTACTACTCAGCCACAGGAAAGGACAGACCAATGCCTTTTGCAACAATTTGGATGTAACTGGAGACCATTCTCCTAAGTGAAGTGCTCAAGAATGGAAAAACAAATACAAAATAAATAAATAAAAGAAAAACCAATACCACATAGACTCCACATTAAACTGCAACTAACCAATGAGCCCACATGTGCACAGAGGGAAGTAAAATTCAGTGGAAATCAAGCAGTGGGGAGAAAGAGGAGATGGGCAAAAACCTACCTAACGGGTTCAATGAACACTGTCTGGGAGATGTGGTCACTATCTGACTCAAGCACTACAGAAGCAATCTGTATAACCAAAAACATTTGTACCCCCGTAATATTTTGAAATTAAAAAAGACAATCATGTTTTCATTACTAGTTATATAAAAGTATTATGAATCATCTACAAAGAAATACATAACTATCCATCACATGAGACCGACTGTCACTGACATAGGATCACTGACAATTATATATTTGTATGCTAATATTCGATTACTCATCTTTTTATCAGTATAAAAATAGGCTGGTTTAAAAGTCAGCTTCAAAATAAATTTCAAGAATAAAAAGAAATTTGAAATTAAAAATTTTACCATTATGCTCATTTATTATTTGACATCATATAATTTTGAATATCAATATTATATCATTATTATATCATTTATTCCTAAAAAGAAAAAGCCTGAGTAATTAATTATTCCAGTTAGTGAAAGTATCACTTACCTCTTTCACATTTGCATCATCGAAAAATACCCATTTGGAACTTTTCGTATGAAAAGCAAAGGCACAATAATGACGGCTGGTATAGCAGATCACACCAACAAGGTGAAGTTCACTATTTTTGGCATTTTCATCAGTAACTCTATAAAAAAGCTGTTTAAAAAATTAATAATATACATTTAATACTATACCTTTTTAAAAAGAAATAATTTGATGAATTATATATTTGATTCATTATAAAAAAAATTTCTCATGCATACTGCTCTAATCCAATAATATATCAAGGTGCCACTAACATTGTGCTGTTGTTTTGTTTTGTTTTCTTTTGTTTTTTTGCTGATTTATTATTTTATATTTTATCTCTTTGTCATCCTTGTAGAGGGCAGTGGCAACATAGCTCACAACAAACTCAAACTCTGGGGCTCATGCAACTCTCTTGTCTCAGCCTCCTGAGTAGCTGGGACTATAGGCACCTGCCATAGCACCTGGCTACTTTTTAGAGATGGGGTCTCGCACTTGCTCAGGCTGGTCTTGAACTTGTGAGCTTAGGCAATCCATCTGCATTGGCCTCCCAGAGTGCTAAGATTACAGGCGTGAGCTACTGTGCCCGGCTAACATTGTGCTGTTAATGAAATTATTACTTTTTATTTGTCCACAAAAACTTTAAGTCCAATAAAATGCATTGACTACAAATTAGTTTAATAATAATATGACATCTAATTACATGACTGACAATTTACATAGATAAACTCCACATGTGAGATAAATTACACATTGTTGGTAATTCTTGACTGAATCACATATCTGAATATACATTAAACATATTACCCAAAAGATACCTAAAATTTTAATTATAATATATGCTAATTCAAAATATATTAAGAAAGTAACAATGTATTAAGAAAAAACAAGCATATTAAGAGATCAGTGCTGACATGAATTTTATATCATAAATCTTCTAGGCTAATAGTAGTCATAAGAATGATCATACATATCAGAAATAACCAATCATCATCATTCTGGAGTAAAAGACAAAAATGAAATAGTTTACTCTGTAACTGAAGGCCATTCCTAGTCTATGCAGGAAAAGCATTCTAGTTACCCTGATTTGATTCCACTTATCTTTACTAGATTACATCTGAATATTCTTTCCTTTAGAAAGAAATTTTGTCGTGAAAAACAAAACTAAGAGTATCATAGTATACAAAGATGCCTGCAGAGGTGTCCAACCTTTTTTCTTTTCTGTGGCACATTGGAAGAGTAAGGATTATCTAGGGCCACACATTAAATACACAAATGGTAAGGGCAAGCTGATTAGCAAAAAAAAAAGGTCTGGGCATACTTTTCAGGATCTCTGACACCACAGTTAAGGAAAAAAGGTCTTCATGAAACGTGCATGTGGCCCATGGCACCCCAGATTGGACAACCCTGCAAGAGGAATTTAAAAATAAAAGAGAATAAACAAAGTTAAGATACCCCAGGAAGATAAAGTTGTGTTGCTAGATTTCGAACAACGTCTTCAGTCAAGTCGGAATGCTCCGAGTCCCAGACTAAACCAACTGTGACAATCTCTGGGCAATTCATTAAAACACGGCGAATTTTTATTTTTTGGCCACAGTTACTCTACAAAAAACCACAAAAGATATGTTTTGAAATTATCAAAAAATATATAGCAAAGGCAAAGCCTTATACAGTTTGTATTATACAATGACAATCTTAATACACATCTGAAATTTGCTTCTTCAGTATTCTCAAATTGACATCTAGCAAGTTATTTTAATTATCAATTAAATAATAAGTTTATTTTAAATCCAAGTAGTCTTTGATATCTTTATAAATCTGAAAACAAGAATTTAACCTAGGGGTGGCTCCTGTGGCTCAAAGGAGTAGGGCTCCGACCCCATAGGCCAGAGGTGGCGGGTTCAAACCCAGCCCTGGCCAAAAACTGCAAAAAAAAAAGAATTTAACCTAAAAAAAGCAGAAATAAAGCCCTTGAAGTCATTAACAATATTAGATGAGAAAATATCATTTATCATGTTCATTTAAAAAAGGAAACTTTCCCTTTAGTCAAATACTAAATTTCAGAACTTTGAAAAGATTCAATCAATAAATACTAAACCTTTCACAAAGTTGAGCTTTTAAAGGAATTGTACTAAGATAAATAGCTCACATAATATAAAGTTACCTAAAACAATATCATTTTTAATTCTCTATGAGAATTAATATTTACATGATAATTTCTTTTCTTTTCTTTTTTTAGGGGGGAGACAGAGTCTCACTTTGTTGCCCTTGGGAGAGTGCTGTGGCATAATAGCTCACAACAATCTCAAACTATTGGGCTTAAGCAATTCTCTTGCCTACGCCTCCTGAGTAGCTGGGACTATGGGTGCCCCAACATTAATACCCGGCTATTTTGAGAGATGGGCTCTTGCTCTGGCTCAAGCTGGCCTTGAACCTATGAGCTCAGGCAATCCACCTGCCTCAGCCTCCCAGAGTGCATGATAATTTCTGAATACCTATTTCAAACTTACAAACATAGAAACATTCTTATATTCTCCAAATTATACTTACAGGACATTTCCTATAGTCATCTGTTGTATTTGCTGCTTGTAGCAATTCGGCAAACATTTCAGGTTTAAAGCGTTCATGCCTTTCCACCATTCTTTCAACTTCATTGCTATGAAAAAAGAAGCAGTCCTAAATCTGGCCTATGAACTTAAAACTTTAATAAATTACATATGAAAAATATTAAGTTGTCAATACAGATGTGTATCCCTTTTTCTGCCTAAAACATGACCGTATCTGAAAAACTAGTCACAAAGTACATTTCCATATGATGAAAAACATACAGAATAAAATAACACAAAATTATATTTTTGTTTGCAACTACGTGAAGGTAAGATGCTCTGTCCGGAGATATTTCTAAGGCAAATGTTTCTTTTACACTGTAACTTAATAAGGAAACTTGAGTTTAAACTCTGCCCTAACAAGAACAACATTATAGGAAAGGCTCCTATCAGGCTGAAAGTTTGCGGAAGCAAAGTTATCAATTTCAGCTAGAAGACCCTTTGAGGATTATATGAAGAAATCCCAACCAAGTTATCTAAGCCAGAATTGTGCCTTTTGTTCCTATTACGAATGCCAATGATTCTGTCAGAGCCCAAGCTGGCCTTTTAATACAGTACAGGACATCTGTGTCATTGTTTATGCAACTGCTCTAAGAGTCATATTTTTGCATATCAAGTTATTAAGTACCTTTAAATAACTATGCAAACATTTTCAAAAAGGAATGTAATGTAAACTAAAACACCCTAATTTCTATTCTAGATATTCTGTCTCTACATTAGTAATGTAACTATCATAGAGCTGGGTATATTTTACAGTTCAATAGTTTAAATAATCTACAAGTATTTGTTAACAACTAAAAGTACTCTTCCAAAACACTTCACAAGTATACTAGAAAGCACTAAATCTGATAAGCTCATTAAAATCGCACATGCTGGTTTTACAAAACTGACAGCCTAGAGTAGTATTTAACCAGACAAATTGTGAAGTCAGACAGACCTGGGTTTCAGTCTTAATTCATCCCATTACCGGATTAACCTCATTAAACTTATTTCTTCAACCAGAAAATAGTGTTTTTGTTAAGATTAAAAGTGATAACTTACATAAAGCCTGGAACATAGTAAGCATTCAATAATTGGTATTCAATACTTCTTATCAATTAAAAAAAAAGATATTATAATTAGAATTCAAAGTCTGCATTCCTGCAACTAGCAGTGTGGACCAGGCAGAGATTGATGGCGATCTAATTCTTAGTATCTAAGATCCTGCTGAGAACACGGTATTTTACACAAGAGCTTCAAAGTAAAGCTAGAATTTTACAGTTTTTAATTTATAGTCGATCCTTGCTCAAACGCCACCCTACTTTTCATACAAATTGAAAAAAAAATGACTATTACCTACAATTGGTTTACCAACTCTGTTTATATATGTGAAAAAGATGATAAACATATCTAAATAACATGGCTATTATTTAGCAATCTTTAAGAAATAATGTGTTAAGAAAGCCAGGAAATTAATTAATATAAAATGGATATTCACTGTGCACACTGAAAAAAATATCAAGTATCTGTTCCACTGATATATTCTATAATAACTGGTAATTATTCATCCAGGATATATCTTTTGTATTAAAATTTCTACAAACATTCATGATCTGATTTAATGTTTCTCACATATGAAATATTTATGCTCTCAAATACCTGTTGGAAAATGTTCAAATAATTTTTATTATGTAAGGTCTAGGGATTGTTCTTGTATCACTAACCAGCTAATGCTTCCTGGACAGAGAGGGGTCAAGGCCAGGAGGCAAGCATGCCAATTTTTACTTAACATGAAGGTTGATTCCTCAAATGTAATAACTTGAGAATTACATTCATATTTTTCTTTTCTGCTTACCCTAGCTTTCATCACCACGAAGGGACATGGTGAAACTGACAGGAAACCTGGCCATTACACAGAGAACATCTTATCAAAAATGAAGAAACCATCTATAGTGCCGTTTACCCCCGAGTTTGGTCTTTTTAAACTCCCCTTCCCAGTGCCAAAAACTTGTTATAAATATAAATAGACGTAAATTTTAAATAGTATTTAACACAGAACTTCAGTGAGGGGAAATTCATGTTATCATCTTATAGAGTAAGTGCTCAATAAATGTTTAAATGTGATACTAACAATGCTTGGTAAATATATGCTTTAGTAGGTTCTTACCATAGGGCTGTGGTCGAAATGTACCGCACAAATTCTGTAAAAGGCAGAGGGTCTGACGATGCTCCGCAGCTGCGACACACGCACTGTGGGTAAAAGCACACGTTTAATCTATCACTCACAGTACATAAATGCAGCGTCTAATAAAATAGCTAAGCCATCTCACCTGTTCATAAAGAGTCATCGCAAACTTCTGGTGAGTGATACAAGACCTGGAGGTACACATGTCTGCATCTCTGCTTGGCACTATGTGAAAATGAATCCGCTCCAGGATATTTTCCTAAGTTAAAAATAAAGACAAATGAGCTACTGATCTTACGGAGACCACTTGAAAATACGAATCTTCCAAAGTGTAAATTTAAGAGTGCCATACATATTGTTGTTTTTGGTTTTCCTCTCCAATCAATACTTCAAATATTCGATTATTTATATTTTGTAGCATCAGCTCAAAGAATGTTTAATGAAGGAAACATAATGTGACATATGATTTTAATCAAGTTTTTTTAAATCCCATCAAAATCAATCCATGGTGGCTGACATCTAGAATTTAATATTAGAAAAAAATAAAACATTTTCCTATGCTCCCCGCGTTCTCAGATTGAGAAAAATCAGATAACTATGGAAATATTCTACTTGAATCATCTAGGCCATTCATAGAACTTCCATCAAAATAAAGGCTCTGTATCTATACCCAGACCATGCAGGCGATGTGGTCTACAACAAAGTCCACAAGAATGTTCAGATTGATAATGCAGGTCAACGAGGGGGATTTCTTTAATATAGCAACCTTTCTTTAGAGTAAAACTTAACCAATGGATTCTTTTCATTAGCTAACTTCCCCCTCCTCTGCCCCTAAATATTTCAAACCACTCAATAATGTCTGAGTTTCTAGACATTGTATGAATTATATCATGTATTAATACATTCCATTTATGTGAAAGCAAAACTTAAAAGTTCAGCATTTTACAAAATACATTTATGTTTTCGACAATGGGTCGATTATAAACAGAAGAAATATGGAAAGTGTACTTTATTACCATGTGTGCCACTGACATATTTTGATCGACATGGAAGCGTGCTAGGCAACGTGCTAGTCAATGAGCTTTCCATCTAAGAAAACCACAAAGATGCTCATTTTAATAAAAAAGAGTAACAACATATAATTGCCAAGTGGATTCTACAGATAGTAAATTCTACAGAAATTCAGAGACGGTATTGGGATGGCAGGTATTATCTGGAAGGCGTGACTTAGTTTGAACTGACAAAAAACATAGATCTTAAAAGTTTTGAAGACATCAAGAACTTGAGCAAAGGCCGTTCCTTAATCAGGAATATAAAAAAATATAAATGAGGAACACAACAGAACCATCTCATTAGGAAGAGAAGTTTATAGAGGAAGCAAAGAGCTGTAAGTTGGGGTTTCATTGTAAAGGGCTTCAAATATCAGGACAAAAGGTCTACATTTGAATTGCAGAAATATTTGAAGGGTGTTAACCTTAAGAAATTTATACTAATATGGGGGTTATTAAAAAATACACCATAAAGGGACAAGCTGAATGGACACTAATAAGAGGCTACTTATGCTGAGAGCAGAGACCTGAATGAGAAATTGTGTTAGAGAATAAATATGGAAAAGTGTAGCAGCTCGTATAGCCTATGGCTAGGAGGAGTGAGAGTTATAAGAAATACCTGTAATGGAACACCTTGGTGAAAAGGGCATGGAGAGAGATTTGGTTCTAACAAGCATGAGTGAGCTCTGGAGATGAGAGCATTGGTGAATTGGCAGTCTCTACACCTGTGGTGTTGAGAAGCACAGCTCAGCCTTATATTAGGCTGGAGGAGAAGGCAGTCAAGGGCCATGCGCATTCTATCACGGACATGCTTACTCTGACTCTGTCTCCTCCTGCCTGCAGGACGCCAGCCCGGCATCTGTGCTGAAGATTACCAAGCTCTGCTAAAGACTAAGAGCTATCTGTTCTAAGAAGACTGCTTTACTCTCTCTAAGATACTCTGTCTCTCTCTCTCTCTCCAGCTAAAGTAGATAGCCCTCAAGCAACCTATGAGAAACTGTTCCTGAACAAGGTCGCTTAGTGGTCCATGTCCAGAACCTACCTAAGCTGGGCCCGAGACCTGGCCAGTCCCGGGCCCTGACAAGTGGTGTCAGAAGCGGAATAGTGAACGCCACTGACAAATGGTGCTTTGAGCAGGATTCAGTGAACATGGACCGAGGGGGAAATAAGCTTTAGCAAAATAAGAAAAAAAAAATAGAAATGCTTAGAGGGAAAGGAAATATCTCAGAAGGACAGCCAACAGCAGGCCTTTCTCATTCGGTTTTTTCTTTCCTGCGTTTTCTCTTTCCAAATTCTAACTACTACTTTTGTGGGAAAAAAGCTGGTAAAATCCTTCAGCCTCTTCTGTGAAGTGGCTGGAGAAAAACAGAAAAAAGCCTCTAAACAAGAGGGAAAGAGAAAGGCTAGACCTAGGAGATAAGAATCTTTAGTAAACAAGCCTTTAGCCTCAGGGGTGAGAAAAGCCTTCCTTAAAACAGCAAAGAAGAAAGTTTGGGAACAGGTTGCAAGAGTTTATTAAGTCAGGGAAGAGAACTTCTAACTGCCTTCCCCTAATACCTTCGCCCAATGCCAGCAGGAAGCAGCTTTTGAGAGACCGACGCCCCATTCCCTTTTTGGCAGTTAAGAGCTCTATTTAAAAAGAAAAGTGAGGTAGATTAAGGGGCTGGTGAAGAAACAGTGGAAGTAAAGTTTTGTAAAACAAGACTCCAGAGTAAAAAACAGCTCAAGAGCTCCTGTCTCTTTAAGGCAGCCAAAGGTTCTAAGAATTGAAAGGGAAAGATTGTAAAAAGTAAAAGGCCAAAAGAAGAAAACCAGTAGAGAAAAATCATGGCAAATGAGATACAGTAGTTGAAATACAGTTGAGAGATCAGATGAATCTTATAGTAGAAGCAGGTAAATGCTATATTGACATGACAACTCAAATTGGGCAGCTGGAAGATCAGAGGGTAAATCCCCCAGTTAACATCAAATGCCATAAATGTGGGAAGCTAGACCATAAGAGAAAAGAGTTTAAAAGGGAAAAGAACGTTGAATGCTAAAAAAAGGAACAAAGAGCATGTAAACCTCCAGGTGTATGTCCCAAGTATAAAAAAGGTTTTCACTGGGCCAAACATGCCGTTATCAACTTGATAGAAGATGGAACACCTTTATTGTAGGGAAATTATCAGTTGGGCTAGAATCAGGACCCACTGATAAGTCAAAGTTTAATACTTTCATTTCAAACCATTCTCAGAAAAAACAGTATAATTCAATTCTATGCCGTGGGAGCCCTCTGCCAGCTTGGTTAGACCTGTGGTGCCTTAGTGTAAAACTGGGGAAATTAAACCAGACCAATGGATGACAATGGATAATAATTAGACTAAATATGTTTGTGGAATATTAGGTTATCCTGCATGGTGAAGGGGTAACCGACTTCTCATCAGGGTCTGTGCACTACAACCGGAGTTGACACGGCCCAAAGGGGAAGTGTCACTCAGAAGCAAGTGAAGCCTTTGGAAGATTATGAGAGGTGAGAACAAAGGGAGGGAAGAGTACAAGTTAAACCACCTCTGTGCTAGGAAACTCCATTGGGAAAAAAGTATGGAATCAATTAGCAAAAATTTCGCTGGAAAAGCAGCTTGAAAGCAGGAAAAACTCTGCTATCAAGGAATTGTGAAGGGTGGTACTTTTTGGACCATGAGTTAACAGTTCCATGAGAGGAACTGCCAAGTGTAGAACCATTAATCCAGGAGTAACAGTCTTTTGCGATCTGTGAAGGGTGGATTTCAGTACCTCGAGTAGCAAAACCTTTGGAATAGCGAGAGAAAAATCCTCTGCTTGCAAAGATTGCA